CAAGTATTACAACCTGCTTTTAAACAAGTGCTTTGTTCAGTTCTATGGTGGTTTTACTTACTAAAAATAAATGCTCCCCCAGTAATAACACAGACTTGGAGTGGAAGAAGCCCCAGTAACATCTGCTTTCCTTTGGCTGCAGGAGCTGGATGATACATGTGTGGTGGTCATTTCAAACTTGCCTGAGAAAGGATATTCTGTTGAGGAGGTTTCCAACCTAGCAAAGCCATTTGGGGGACTGAGGGATGTGCTGATTTTATCATCTCATAAAAAGGTATCTTCATTGCTATCTTATTGAATTTCCACCTAGGGTAGCAGCAAATGTGTCTTTAGCAGATGTGATTGTGCAGCGTGGCAGGCATCAAGCTGAGGTGCTCTTGCTACATGGCTAAAATCAATTGTTCTCTTTATTTTAAAAGGCCTATATGGAAATAAGTAGAAAATCTGCAGATTCCATGGTTAAATTTTACACCTGCTTCCCAATGTCTCTGGATGGGAACCAGCTCAGCATCAGCATGGGGCCTCAGTGGAGCACTGTCAGAGATGAAGTGAGTAGCACCATGTACTGAGGTGTTGGGGGCTGTGGTTACACTGCAGTGCAGAGCAGGGGTTTGTATTTAAGCTGGGTTTTATACCCTGCACCTCCTGAGGGTTTCTGCTCATTCTGGAAAATATCTTTTTGGGTTCTAGTCTTCTGGTACCAGCACAACACCCGTGTCAGATGTGTTGATGCTGTTCATTTTATTAATGAAGCAGAAACTTAACATTTCTTGGGAGCCAGTGACAGAGCTGGTTCTGAAGCTCTGGTTTGTAGTTCAAATCTTATAATGTGTTTTCTTTTCTTTCTTTAAAGGAGGCAATATTTACTGCTATAATTAAAGACTCTGACCCCAAGGTAAGTTGCCAGCAGTCTGACTTGTCCTCTGCATGCTCCCCGAGGGCAGTACTTCTCCCTGTCCCTCCTGCTGAAATGCTGCCTGTTATCTGAGCTTTCTCTTGAGTTCAGTGTTTTTATCTGTTTTCATGGGTGAATGAGCAGGGAAGAGGATGAGTGGATGTTCCCTGAGTTCAGCACCACAACATGTGAAGTGCAAGGAATTAAACATTTAATAGAGGTCCTTGGAGAGCCTCCCCTTCTGTTGCTGGTTTTCATGTTCTGACAACCAGCTGCTGAGCACTCGACCTGCAGCACGTGCCATGTGTGCCTCTGCAGGATGGCACTCCTCCCAGCAGGGTTTATGGGCAGGTATTTTGGTTCAACTGCCCAGAATGCTTCTGGGCTATGTTCTGGGTGCTGTGTCTCTCTTGTTGTCCCTCCTGTCCCATCACTGCACCCCGGGCAAGGCATTTTTGTGGGCTGTGGGTGGCAGATGTCAGAGAAATGAAGGCTGTTGTTCAGGGTAGACATGATGGGGTCTGTGTCTCTGGGCTGGGACAAGAACTCCAGAAGAACAGCAGTGTAGAGGGTAAATGTATGGGTTTGTAAAGCAGATTGCAGAGACCCCTGCCAGCACTCCCTCACTTCCCCAGGGCTCCCCCTGAGGTTTGCTAATTGCAGACCTGTCATGGGGTCTCTGCTCTCTCCTCCTGACCCTTGTCTGGCACCAGCAGGCACAGCTGGGTACTCCCTGCCAGCACCTCTGCTGCCCTGGCCTGCTGCTGCTGGGGAAGCAGCTCTTCTCTGCTCCTGCTAAAGTGATGAATAATGGAATCAAAACACCTGGAGAGGGGAGAGAAAATCTCTTCTTTGTTGTGTTTCCAAGAGACAGCTTCCAAGGATTTCAAGATAGGATGTGTTTAAGATTACAGGAGTTTACCTTTGGGGTCCCAGGGCCCTTCCCTGTGATCCTGCACCAAACACTCAGTCCCTGGTCCTGCTGGCACTGTGTGGCTGCCAGCTCATGGGACCTGCTGCATAACATCCTTCCTGCTCTCCCTTATATCCTGACTCCGTGGTGCTGCTGATAACCCCATTGGAAAACTGAGGAACATGAGAAATGGTATTTGACCAGGGATTTTTATGTTGTTACAAACTGATCAAGTAAACCCAGCTCCAACTTAGCAACCAGGGTTGGAGCCTTTTGGACAGGTTCCTGTGCCTTGATCCTGTTGTTACCTGACCAGACAACATCTGCTTTTCAAAATACTGAATTTTATTTAAACTTCAGCTTTATTTTGCAAGTGCTCCTTCAAGAGACCTTTACAAATTAGTTAAATTTAAATGATAATTTAAAATAACCCGATCCTTTTAAGTTTGTTCTTCTTTACTGGGAGGTACAGCTGGTTTTTGTGACAGAAAACTGGAAAACCTGATGTGAATGTGACATGTGAACACTGAGTTTGTGCCAGGACCTTTTTTTGCTGAGGCCTGAGCCATCCAGAAGCTTCCTGTGAGGCTTTTCTGGCCTAGCTCAGGTATGGTAGGAGGTTAAAGCAAGTGTTGTCATCACTTTTCTGCAGGTCAACACTGAAACTCTGCATAACCAGTTTGTGCACCTGGGGAACCTGCCAGCTGATGGGTACAGGGAACTTGAAGTAGTTTGTGTGGGACTTCGGTTTGGGAAAGTGCATCATTATGTTGTGCTGAAGAATAAAAACAAGGTAAATGTTTATTTCTGTGGTGCTGTGCTAAGGGAAAACATGGTTTGTAAAAGTAGGTTGTTTCATCTTCTGGTCCCAAGAATGTTCTGCTGATGAGGGTTGGAATATCTGATTCTTTCCCACTCATCCCAAACAAGAAAATAGTCTGTCTTATTTATGGGAGGCAGGAAGGAAAAACCCCAAAGAGAACAAATTTAGGCTGTTCTCTGGCCTGGACAGTGCAAGAGCAGTTTAGGCTCTGAAAGTAAAGTTTTCCAAATGGCTGGAAAAATTCTTCAACCTTTGGTGTTAGAGGTGGAAGGGAAGGGAACACGAGTTCCCATTTTTTAGGAAACCTGGGGAAAAAGATTAAGTTTATTGTTTATGAAGTGAAAACGTCACAATTGCTGAAATAACTTCTTGTTCTGGGGCACTTCAGAATGTGGTGATCTGGTTTTTCTTGTGGGTTTTTAAATTTATTTTGCTATTTCAATTTTTAATGTTGCTGGTTTTGCACTTACATTGGATTTGTGTTTTATGAGCTGGATGTAATTCACTGTGTATTTTGAGGACTGACATGGAATTGTACTCCCATTACTACCAGCTGTTTGAAGTGTCCACCTGCTAATAAACCACTACCAGAGGAAGATGGTTTTAGGAGAAAGAGACTATTTTTCTGTTTTTAAAACTAATACCACTTTAATGTTCTTTTCAATGCAGTGAAGACAGCTCTGCAGTCAGTAAAACACCCAGGGCTGGTTTTTCACTGTCCACTTGATAGATAAAATCTTGCAGTCACTTCTGGGCACTTCTCCTCTGCCTACTGTGCAGCTTCTCCTGAGTTACAGCAGGATCAAAGCTGAACGTGGCCAGGAGTCAGAAGGTGGATTGGGAAGCTCCAGGCTCCACTGCCTTGTGGTGTAGTTCCTTAGTTAGCTCTAAAGATAATTCCAAATGGAGAGAAATGGCTGAGAAAACTGGGTTTGTTCAGCCTTGAGAGGGGAAGGTTTTGGGGAGACCTTATCACCATGTTCCAGTACTTCAAGGGGGGCTGCCAAGAAGATGGAGACTCCCTGTTGACAAGGAGTCCCATGGAAAAGACAAGAAGGTCATGGGCACAGGTTGCTCCTGGAGAGATTCCAATTGGACACAAGAGGTAATTTTTTCACCATCTGGGCAGTCCCAACATTGGAATAGTCTCCCAAGGGAAGTGGTGGATCCCCCCACATTGGACAGTGTCAAGTCTCAGCTTGACAGGGTGCTGAGCCTCCTCACCTCAACTAGAGCAGTACCTAGAAAGGTTGGACCAGGTGATCCTTGAGATCCCTTCCAACCTGGCATTTCATGGTTCTATGATTCTTTTTCTTTCCTGAGCCTCTCCAAAAGGAGAAGAGTGCACTGTCCTCCATATCCAGAGCAGGATCCAGAGCAGGATTCCCAACACAACAGCTCATTTCAAGGGAAGGTGTTGAAACCCTTCAGGAATGTTAGATACTGAAAACCAGCTGAAGAAATGAGCTTGTTCTGCAGTACAGAGGTGAGCAGAGGCAACAGTGATTGGAGGCCTGTGCTTTTTCCCTTGCAGGCCATTCTCCAGCTGGATAGTCCCAAGTCAGCCCGATCCATGTACAGCTTCCTGAAGCAATATCCCTACAGCAGGGGGGAGCACACCCTGACCTGCACGTTGTCACCCCAAGGAGAGGCTACTGAGGTGAGCTGCCCTCCCTCCACAATGCACTGCTTTTGGGGAAGAGAACCAGCTGTCCATGGAGAGCAGCTGGCAGTGACTGTGTCACTGTTTCCTGTTTGCTGTCAATGAGGGTGAGAGTGAAAGCTCTGGAAGCACTGGGAGCTGGATGCACGTGTCTGTGTTGTGGGATGTGCTGCAGAGGGATGTGCTGCTCTTTGTCTTTTGCCTTTCTCTGCATTTTACAAACACGGGTGAAATCGCTTTCCACCAATTAAAATGTTTCTTAACAAAGAATGGAGAGGAAAAGGAAGCAAGGGGGAAAGCAGCTTTTTACTACTTGTTAGGAAGGGGTTGATGATGGACATTAGTAGAGGTTTTCTTCAAGATCTGGTTTGATTCATAGACATTAGGACATCAGGAGCAAGCTCTTTAGTGTGAGGGTGGTGAGACCCTGGCCCAGGCTGCTCAGATGATCCTTGAGGTCCCTTCTAACCCAAACCATTCCATGATTCTATGATTCTCATTCCTCTCTAGTAGTTGATCTGTTTTAGTCCTCGTGGTCCCAGACTCAGTTGCCCTGCCAGCACTGGTCCCTGTGCCCACAGCTGCTTCCTTTCTCTCCCTTAGAAGTGAAATCGGGCAGCTTGAGCAGCTCCCAGTTCCCTCTGGTGGCTTCCGAGGGAGCAGCCAGCTGAGCAGGTGAGCTCCAGAGAGGGGAGCTTAGTGCCTGTTGCAGTGGGTAGGCACAGAGCTGTCAACATGAGCCACCTGCTCACAGCTTTCCAGCTTCCACAGTGGAGAAGGTGAATCCAGGTGTAGTCCCTGTCTCTGTGGAGCTTAAGGGCTCTTTACCCTCAAACACGAGGAGCTGTAGTGTCACCAGGTCTGTGTGCTGAGCTGGAGCTGTTGGTGTTATTCCCACTGGGCATCACGATGAAATTCCCTATTTTTATAGAACAGGTTGTGTGCTGATCATTGGCTCGTGTCATGGTCTGTTCTGGGTTGGGTTGGCAGTACCTTCTGCTCTATTGGAAGCATCCTTATGTACAAAGCCTGTGGAGTAGCTGGATGGGGTTTATGATCCATGTTTTTCACACTGTGTCAGCAGAGGCACAGGTTGCTCCTGGAGAGATTCCAATTGGACACAAGAGGTAATTTTTTCACCATCTGGGCAGTCCCAACATTGGAATAGTCTCCCAAGGGAAGTGGTGGATCCCCCCACATTGGACAGTGTCAAGTCTCAGCTTGACAGGGTGCTGAGCCTCCTCACCTCAACTAGAGCAGTACCTAGAAAGGTTGGACCAGGTGATCCTTGAGATCCCTTCCAACCTGGCATTTCATGGTTCTATGATTCTTTTTCTTTCCTGAGCCTCTCCAAAAGGAGAAGAGTGCACTGTCCTCCATATCCAGAGCAGGATCCAGAGCAGGATTCCCAACACAACAGCTCATTTCAAGGGAAGGTGTTGAAACCCTTCAGGAATGTTAGATACTGAAAACCAGCTGAAGAAATGAGCTTGTTCTGCAGTACAGAGGTGAGCAGAGGCAACAGTGATTGGAGGCCTGTGCTTTTTCCCTTGCAGGCCATTCTCCAGCTGGATAGTCCCAAGTCAGCCCGATCCATGTACAGCTTCCTGAAGCAATATCCCTACAGCATGGGGGAGCACACCCTGACCTGCACGTTGTCACCCCAAGGAGAGGCTACTGAGGTGAGCTGCCCTCCCTCCACAATGCACTGCTTTTGGGGAAGAGAACCAGCTGTCCATGGAGAGCAGCTGGCAGTGACTGTGTCACTGTTTCCTGTTTGCTGTCAATGAGGGTGAGAGTGAAAGCTCTGGAAGCACTGGGAGCTGGATGCACGTGTCTGTGTTGTGGGATGTGCTGCAGAGGGATGTGCTGCTCTTTGTCTTTTGCCTTTCTCTGCATTTTACAAACACGGGTGAAATCGCTTTCCACCAATTAAAATGTTTCTTAACAAAGAATGGAGAGGAAAAGGAAGCAAGGGGGAAAGCAGCTTTTTACTACTTGTTAGGAAGGGGTTGATGATGGACATTAGTAGAGGTTTTCTTCAAGATCTGGTTTGATTCATAGACATTAGGACATCAGGAGCAAGCTCTTTAGTGTGAGGGTGGTGAGACCCTGGCCCAGGCTGCTCAGATGATCCTTGAGGTCCCTTCTAACCCAAACCATTCCATGATTCTATGATTCTCATTCCTCTCTAGTAGTTGATCTGTTTTAGTCCTCGTGGTCCCAGACTCAGTTGCCCTGCCAGCACTGGTCCCTGTGCCCACAGCTGCTTCCTTTCTCTCCCTTAGAAGTGAAATCGGGCAGCTTGAGCAGCTCCCAGTTCCCTCTGGTGGCTTCCGAGGGAGCAGCCAGCTGAGCAGGTGAGCTCCAGAGAGGGGAGCTTAGTGCCTGTTGCAGTGGGTAGGCACAGAGCTGTCAACATGAGCCACCTGCTCACAGCTTTCCAGCTTCCACAGTGGAGAAGGTGAATCCAGGTGTAGTCCCTGTCTCTGTGGAGCTTAAGGGCTCTTTACCCTCAAACACGAGGAGCTGTAGTGTCACCAGGTCTGTGTGCTGAGCTGGAGCTGTTGGTGTTATTCCCACTGGGCATCACGATGAAATTCCCTATTTTTATAGAACAGGTTGTGTGCTGATCATTGGCTTGTGTCATGGTCTGTTCTGGGCTGGGTTGGCAGTACCTTCTGCTCTATTGGAAGCATCCTTATGTACAAAGCCTGTGGAGTAGCTGGATGGGGTTTATGATCCATGTTTTTCACACTGTGTCAGCAGAGATGTCAGGAGTGTTTCTGGTCAGGCTGTCCCTGAGTTGTGTCTGTGATGGTTCAGGACACGGGGCACTGCCCAGCCAGGTGTGCTTGGGGATTGTGTGTTTCTTGAGTGGATTCAGGAGATCAGTAGTTGCTGTGCATGCACAGGGCTTTGCCTGGGAAAAGTCAGGTTGTTATTTACAATCATGGAATCCTAGGATGGTTTAGTTTGGAAGGGACATTACAGGTCATCTAGACCCAACTCCCCCTGCATGGGCAGGGACACCTGCTAGACCAGGTTGCTCCAAGCCCCATCCAGCCTGGCCTTGAGCACTTCCAGGGGAGGGGCCTCTAGAAACCTCACTGGGCAAGCTGTTCCAGTGTCTCCTCACCCTCACACTAAAGCATTTCCTCCTAACATCCAGCCTAAGTTCTCACCTCATCACAGTCTACTTCTGTGCCTGCCATGTTGCTGCCCGTGCCTGAAGGTAAGGCTGCTGGAATCACAAAACCACAGAGAAGCTCCTGGGGGGGGGAAGGAGGTTGTGCAGGGGGAGCAGAGCATCACACCTTACTGTGTCCCTGCCACAGCTTCTGCACAAATACTGAGACACAGTGTGTTTGAGATGGAGAGAAGAATGCCTGGTGACACTGGTAAGAGGGAAACCTGAGCTTTTTCCAGCTGTTGTTCTTCCCTGCATTTTGTGCCTATTCCCTCATGTCCATCTTCTCTGTTACGTTGCTGGATGAAGTGCCTGGCTACCCTGGGAGCATCACTCCATGTGCTGTGTGCTCTTTGCTCTGGAAGCCTTTCATACAGGAGCCAGGCTGAAGGAAAAGCAGGGTCATTGTTAATTCATGATGACATGTTCAGATTACTCTTGGCACTTAGCTCTGGAATGGATGTTTTCAGAGAGGGGAGGTGAAAGGATTTGGAGTTAAGTGCTTAAATAAGAGCTCAGTGAATTCTGAGAGCACTGAATTTATCTGATGTTCTTTCTAATAGTGATGGTCTTCAAATCAGTTTGTAGAGTGCCTTCAGAAAAGGGATTGAGGTTTCAACTCTGAGTTTTTAATGTGTTTTTAATTGCTTTGGACCTGCTCTGCTGACTAGGCCCAGAGCTCTGGGGCTTTGTGGTTGCCTGTTCTTCAGAAGACATCATTGTACTTCACATTTCCTCTGTGTAACAGGATGCAGGAAGGTGTGGTCATCCTGCAAGAAAAAACCTGCTACCTTAGCAGGTTTTAGGGAACAGAATCTGGCCTTGGTTGTTCTGGAGGTAATTGCTTGGCTTGGGATGAAGTTTGTCTTTAGAAAACCTGTGGTGCTGTTTTGTGTGTGGTGTTTATTGTCAGGCTACCTGCATTCACCCCAGGCCCTGCAGCTGTGCCAGGACAGGAAGGAAGGTGTTGTCTGGGCAAAGCAGCATTGAAATCCCTCTCTCCCAACCATATCCCAGACCACAAGCCCATTCTGCTCAAACCCAATCATCTCTGGAGGTGAGACAAACACCAGGTAGTGCTGCCTGGCTGTCGAGCAAACTGGCAGTGAAATCTCTGGCCCCACTGTGCACTTTGTCACCTTCTGAAACCCTTGTTCTATGGGGAGCAACTGGAGACCTTCACCTTCCAGGTGACCCATTCCCCAAGCTGGGCTTGTGGTGGTGATTAGTAATTAGTGAGGTCATGCAGATCTGTGCTGATGCTTCCTAGAGCCATTGATCCCAAGCCCTGATTTTTGCCTTTCAGGCTGACCCTGTGGTAGAAGAGGTGAAGCCAGAGGAGCCCAGCCCAGGAAGGTAGGCCTGTCACCTGCTTCAGGTGCTTTTCGTTGCTCTCTTGTTTGTGGATCCGTATCCAAGCCTGAGCAGATTGCTGAGCCATCTCTACCTGCTCTTGATGATCAGGCTGTGAGCCCCACCCCTGTCCCCTGCTCCTCCCTCCCCCAGGCTGTTGTGTGCTGTGTGTGTGCAGGGTGTGCAGTGAGCTGCTGTGCAGCTGTCGTGGTGGGCACTGCTTGGAAATCCAGGCCTTTCCATGGACCTGGACAACTGGGGTGAAATCCTGCTTTCTGTGTCGTCTGCTGAGTCGTTATTGTTTTACTAATTTGGCCAGGATTTTACCACAGGTCCTGGAAAGTATGTTGGGAAATACATGTTGGTAAGACAATTTTTTGTTGTATTTAACCATGAAGTGATTGTTTTATTCCTGTCAGAGCACCTGGCTCCATTGTTTCTGTTTCCAAATGCTAAAAATAAACTGAAACTTCCTTGTTTAGCTTATTAACATTAACTCCACACTGTGACACAGGTCCCTGTGAATGTGACTCGATTTCAGCAGATGTTTAGATGTTATATTAACACCAGGACCTAGACCTGGGGAATGGTGCTTTTGGGATGTTCCATGTGAAATTGTTTTATGGACGTGGCTTGTAGTAACGTTTCTAATTGTGGAGTAACTCTTTGTTGGTTTTAGAGTCTTGAATATGTTTTTATTTTATAAATGGATAGATCATTATAAGAGTTCATGTTAACAAATGTGACTCTGGAGACCTTCTGTAACTCAAATCCATATTTCTGGATAAGTTTTATCATTTGAAAAACAAAAGCAGCCGTGTAACAATGGTCCTAAACTTCAATTTCAGGTAATATCATTATACTGTCATGGACAGTTCCATGCACTATTTCCAAAATCTGTTTCTTGCCCAAGTAAAGCTCTCCTGATTTCAGGAAGCTCCTGCTCAGGCCCTGGTCACTTTCTGGAGGTGATGAGGTTCTAAACTGTCCCCAACTCCCAGGTGGGCAGACATATAGGTCCCCTCTGGATTCCAGGCTGGGGGCTCTAGACACCAGGGGTAATCAAACCAAAATGCCTGCCCAGCATCCTGCTCTGGCTGGTGAACAGATGGGAAAAGGGACATTTTCCCCTACAAACCATAATGCAGTCATTCTTGTCTGAGGAAACTGTCTTCTTCTTGTAAGCCTTTCTGACCTGACTCTCTTTTGAGGTGTGTTTTGTGAGAAGCAGCAAATATCTTCACTATCATCTATATGGGAAAACCTTGCCATGTGTTTCCAGGGAGGGAAGGAGCAGCACATTTTGGGGAGCAGAAGGGGCTGCCCTCTCGCTTTCCTGGGATGATCTTGAAAGCTTTGGAAGCTCTGGAAGCTCCATGTGCTCCAACTGAGTAGGTCTTTTATCTGACCCTGGGACCAAGGTGCTCATGTGAACATCTCTGCTCTTCTCAAGGATACTGATGCACTTTGTTGGGATTTGTTCCCCTCAGTTAAAATAGCCCAACCTTTCCTTGGCCAAGTCAAGCTCAGGGACCATCCCAGTGCTCCTTTGCATCCCGAGCTGACCTGTAGGAAGCAGATGGTGTCTCTGCTGTGATACAGGCTCTGTGTCATTCCTTAAGTCCCTGGGCCTTTTCCTTCCTAATGCAGAGACTGGGCACCAGGGATTCTTGGTTTGCCATCTGAGCAGGAAATCTGTCTTGCTGTTTCTTCCCCAGTGCCCCACAGGTCTTCCAAGTGTTACTTCAAGCACCTTGGTGCTTCCTCAGGCTCACTTGTCTTCCTCTCTGCTTGTTACTGCCCCTGCAGAGCTCTCCTTCCCATCCTTCCTTGCCTGGATGGAATCCAGGGGTGTATTTTGGACACCACCAGGGCTCTGTGGAAGGCACAGGGTGGGTGTTGGTGTGAAAGGAGACACAAAATCCTGAGGATTCACAGACTGGTACCTCAGTGGGATCATGTAGAGGGTAACAGATGTGTGCTGGGAGCTGTGTAGTCAGTGTGAGGTGCTAGTGTGCACTCACATTTTTCCATGCCCTGCCAAAAACACACCAGCAGGGGCTGTGGGATACAGGTAGTAGGGACATGAGAGCTTGTATTTAATTAAGCACCAGTGACAAACGTGGGCTCTTGGAGCTGCACTTCTGGGCTTTGTGCCCTGGCTTCCCCAGGTCACGTGCAGCACTGGCATATGAGTCATACGTCTCAGTGCTGTGTAGGATGCTCAGATAGAAGAGGAAATTAACTGAAATAGTTTCTGGAACACAAAGCATGTTTAATCCATGTCAGAATATCTTCTGTTTTGTGAGGGACGGAACCAGGACTGGGGCCCAGAAAGCAGGTCAGCCCCAGCTGCCCAGGCACTCCTGAGACACACTTTGATGACAGGTCTAAGAAGCCTGTTGGGGATGAACAGGCTGTTTGGAGGAGTGAGGTTCCTTGTCTTCCATCAGGCTGCAGTGACTGTAAGTTGAGCTCTGAAGGAGATTCCCAGCATTCCTGGGACAGGGAGGAGAGCCCACCCCTGGCTCCTGCGAGCGCTTCAGTCCTGCTGCCTGGCTGGGGAGGGGTGTCCTCAGAGCCCCCATCTGAGCTTGCTTCTGGGGAAAGAGGTTTGGAAGCAGAATTCAGCTCCTTCCTTCTCTCTCCTCTCACATTTTCGGGCAGCAGAGGACAGTCTCCTTGGGTGCAGAAGGTGTTTCATTGTGCTCTCATGGCTCAGATGTTACTGGTTTGCCTGTTGCATCCTTCTCTTGATTCCATCTGTCTTCATCTCCTTAGCCCTCACATCTGGCCACTTGACAACTCAAGTGTTCCTCCAGCACTGAGCTCCATTTGATCTGCCTTCCATCTTCTTGCTTACCTCATGCCAGGAGTCTGACCCAAACAGCAGACTGCTCTGCTCCTTTTGATTTTCACCAGGGTTTGTGCAAGTGTCCACTCTTCAATCATAGAATCACAGGATGGTTTGAGTTGGATGGGACCTTAAAGATCATCCAGTCCTATCCCATGTGCCATGGGCAGGGACACCTCCCAGCAGCCCAGGCTGCTCCAAGCCCCATCCAACCTGCCCTTCAACACCCCCAGGGATGGGGCAGCCACAGCTTCCCCGGGCAACCTGGGCCAGGGTCTCAACACCCTCACAGCCCAGAATTTCCTCCTAATGTGTCACCTAAATCTCCCTTCTTCTAGTTTTAATCCATTACCCCTTGTCTCATCCCTCCCTACAAATCCCTCCCCAGCTTTCCTGGAGCCCCTTCAGGCACTAGAAGGTGCTCTAAGGTCTCCCTGGAGCCTTCACTTCTCCAGGGTGAGCGACCTCAACTCTCCCAGCCTGTCTCCAGCCTTTGGATCATCCTTGTGGTTCTCCTCTGCACTCACTCCAGCAGCTCCATGTCCTTCTTGTTTTTGAGGGCTCCAACACAGCACATCAGGTTCTGAGGAGCACTAGCCCAGGCTGCTCCTTCGTACAGAAACACCAACCAGTTATGCCTGTTTGCCTCATTTCTGTCTGTTCCCACACTGGGCCAGGCAGACAGCATTGGTGTTCTGGCCCCTTTCCATGCTGGGCTGTGTGAGGTGTTGGGATGCTCGTTTTCCTGAGCTTTGTGGGAGAGGGGGCACAGACATCTCTCATTCCAGTGTCTCCTGAGGTCATCCAAGGAGGGATTCTTTCTTTGGAAGAGCAATGCAGTGGCTGTAACTGCAGTTCTCTGGGAAGCACTGTCCTCTGTCCTGCCATCCCGGGCTCTGTTCTCCTGGGAGCTGACAGGAGGGATTATGCAGTGGAAACAGAGTCTGGCCCCAGGGAGCCTCTGTGCTGTGTTCCCTGCTATTGTGCCAGGGCAGTGCAGCTTAAAAACAAAGTGATCCCTCCCCCCAGACCTGAGCCAAAAAAAAAACACAAAGAGATGTCTCTGAGCTGCTGGGGGAGTTCTCCAGGGTGGTAGCTGCAGAGCCTGCTGTCTTCAGACACAAAGCTCTGCTGATTCCTGTGTGCAGGGAACCCAAAGCTCCACTTGGGCTGTCTTGGCTCTCCCAGCCTGACTGGCTCTCATAGCAGGGCAGCTGAACTGCAGGAGCTGGTGTCAGCCCTGAGGTGACAGGGTGCATCTCCAGGGAGTGCCACCTGGAGAGCTCTGGCCACCAGGGATGTGATTCCAGGGGCGAGGTGCTGAGGTGGATTAATGAAGCCTAAAACTAATCAGCCTCCTCGGGGTCTGTAGCCCCTGTAACACGGGTAGATTCCCAAATGCTAAGCACTAATGCCTCGGGAATCCCCCTCCGCTGGCGTCAAGAACTTGCTGGTAACTGTAGAATTCTCTACATGGTTTGATGTCTTCTGTTTTTTTTAAATGCATTTAGCTCTGGCTTGAAAAAATATCCAGAGGGATCAGGAGTGGTGCAAACAGCAGCTGCTAATCCTCCAGTAGAGCCCAGTGTGGCACAGGAAGGACCCGTTGCCATCTGTCATGTCAAGGACCAGATGTCAGCAGTGCAGCTTGAGCCCTCTGAGTCCCAGCTGGACAGAGCGCTCAGGGAGTCACCAGCACAGACATCTGTGAAAGACCTGGATGCTGGAGTAGAAGCTACTGTGGTGTCCATCAAATCCACCAGTACCCAACCAGCTGAGGGGAAGCCAGAAGAGATGCAGCCACCGCCTGCCAGTGTGGAGGAAGAGGAGGCAGTTAAAGACAGTGCCCACCCAGAGCTGTTGGAATCCGCTGCTGTGTCTTCATCAGAGAAGGAGATCAAAGAGAAAGGTGAAGAGCTGCCTGCTCCCCCCGTTGAGCCAGCACAAGAGCTGTCTGATGGGGGCAAGGCTGAAGATGTGCCCTCAGATGGTGCAGCAGGGGGACACCTGGGGGCTGTCCCTGAGCCAGCGCCCCCCGGGGGTGATGCAGCTTCAGTGAAGATGGTGTCACCCATTGTCACACCCACAAACCACAAGTCGGATGCTCCTGAAAACAATCCTGTTTCTGACCCTGTGAAAACCAAAGATGAAATGCCTGTAACTCAGATAACAAAGAAGAAACCCATGCTTAAAACTGGGGCAGCCGAGGAGAAGAAACTGGACGTTGCTGGAGCAGACAAAGAGGTGAAACCAGAAGAGTCTGCCCTCAAAGCTGGAAGAGCTGCTGAGGACAACCCTGACAAGCTTTTGGTCAAGACAGGGGCAGAAACAGAGAAGAAAAGTGAAAAACTTGTGGCCAGTGTTGGGATTGTTGTGGAAAACACTGCAGATGCTGTCAGTGAGAACAGTCAGGGAAGTTTAATCAACACCCAACAAAACAAAGGGACAGGACCAGCAAAAACTGATGAAACCCACCGAACAGTTACATTCAACTCCTCCTTATCTGCCAAGGATCCCTCCTCTGTTGGTATAACACTTTTAAAGGCAGTGGTGTCTCTCCCAGATATATTGAAGTCAAGGGTTCCAATGAGGAGAAAGAAGCCTTTGTTGTGCAAAGGAGGGGGTAAGAAAGCTCCCTTGAAACCTAAGCCCCAAGGCCAAGCAGTGGTGGAGAAGAAGATGGCCCACAAAGAAGAGGACCATCCACAACCTGGGAGCAGCCAAGCAAGCCCGGGAGATGGCAGCAGCAAATGTAAAGTGAGCAGAAGTTCTGTTGGTGGTGGAAAGGGAGGCAATGGGAGGAATTCATCCCAGCAAGAGAAGGACTCCCGAGTGGAATCTAGGGCTAGTTCAAAACAGTCTCAAGAGGGAGAGAGTAGATCATCCAGCATGAAGACAGACAACAGCAGCAATAAGGTGAGGAGGGCAGGAAGGCCGGTTCAGTGTGCCTGATCAGTAACTAACTCCATGCTTCTCTCAGATGTTGAGTATGGGACCAGGAGATTATGTTCCCCTTCCCTTTTCCATAAATCACTCAGCTGGTTTGGGCCACCAGAGGAGCTGGAGTAGCGAGATGATGGTGGGCAACCAGTTGCTTGTAGATGTGTGTGTGCAACGCAAGTAGGTGACTGGTTTGAAAATGCTACTTGGAAAAATAAGAAATAATAGCAGGAGAGTATTTTTGAAGTGAGTCTTTACTGAGTGTCATAACTTTTATGTTCTTGGATTAGTTCTGAATGGGAATGACCAAGCTTTCTGTCCTGTGTGAGCTGTATTTGCTTTGTCAAGTCCTGCACAGACACTGGTTACTGACCAAAGAGGCTGCTTAAGCAAGGTTCTACCTGTGATTGTTGCTAGAGACTGTTTGCCTGGACTCTACTGCTGGTGGTTGGCTTAGTTCTGTATTTGCCAAGCATGTGATCAGAAGCAGCAATCTGGACAACTTAAAAAAAGTTCTTAAAGGGAAAAAAAAAAAAATAGCTGATTTTTTTTAAAGAAACTGTTTTTTTCTCTTGTGGGCAGGTGGGTTGGCTGGGCTGGGCTGATGTGACCTTTTGTCTGGTTTTGCAGGCTCCTGTGGGTGGCAATGCTAAGGCTTCCAGGAGTGGCAGCAGCAGCAGTGCAAAGCAGAAAGAGGTAAGGATGTGGCCCTGAAACTGGGACTGTCTGGAAAATGTGTGTATGTGTGTGTCCCAGGAATCCTCAGTGTCCTCCCTCAGGGAGCTGTGGCTGTTACTGGTTGTTACAGGCATGAAGCTGAGAAGCCAAGTCATTTGGAAGAGAAGCTTGATTTGAGGAGTGAGTGTTAAAAGGGGGTGTTTTTTGGTCTCAGGTGTTGTTTGTTGGAGAAATAGACAATTAATTATTTGGAACCCAGTTGCCTGCACGAGAGCTTTCCTTGTCATCACACCTGGGAGAAGAGGGAGGAAGGCTTCAGCCTTCTGGCTCTTTCACAGAACCACAGAAATCTTAGGGGTTGGAAGTGACCTTGAAAGCTCCCCCACCCCCCCAGCCTCTCTGGGCAGCCTGTCCCAGGGCTCTGCCACTCTCACAGCAAAGAAGCTTTTTCTGATGTTTACATGGAACCTCCTGTGTTCCAGTTTGCACCCATTGCCCCTTGTCCTATCACTGGACATCACTGCACAAAGCCTGGCTCTGTCCTCCTGACACTGCCCTGAACGTATTTGTGACCCTGGATGAGGTTGCCCCTCAGTCTCCTCTTCTCCAAGCCCAACAGACCCAGCTCCCTCAGCCTTTCCTCAGCAGGGAGATGTTCCCCTCCCTCCAGCATCTCTGTGGCTCTGCCCTGGGCTCT